ACAGTAAGTGAGAGAAAGGTAGCAACTGCCATTTCCTAAGCAGCTACTGTAGACTAGCCACTTTGTATTATTATTATAACCCTAACTACAGTCCTTACAGTGTGGGCACTGTTCTTATTAAAGAGTAAACTGAGGTTTGCAGAGGGCTTCATAATTTGTCTCAGACCTAATATATAAATAGCTGAACAAGTATTAGATTTACCTTTATATCTTGTTTTTTTTGGTGTGGTTTTTGATGGAAACCCTTGCACCTCAGTTTTCTTTGCCAGTAGAAGTAGAGTTGGAGAAAACAGAACTTTGTTACTAAAACTAATGGGTTAAAAAGAGATAGGCATAGAATGCCTATCTACTACAGATCAGCACACCACTTTTCAGTGAGTATATTCTGCATGTCTCCTAATTTGTGCTTTTTCTTATTGTGCACGCAATTTATATCAGAAGAGGAACAGACTAAGATTGGAGAGAACATGGCATGAGCTCATTTCTCCATTGTTACCAAGCAGTAAATGAAATTTGTTGAACAAGATCATATTTTTAAGTATGAAACCCTAAGTCTAACAGCTAAATCCTTAAATCTAAAAGCTAAAAATTGATCAAGGTAGTCTTTTTTCTAGAAGTTCCCCAAGGCTTTGACATTGTGATGTAACATTTAAGTAGCATTGTTCCCAGCCTTCATCTGTCATGGCAAGAGCTGGTGAGCTCGCAGGCTGGGTGTGGAGAGGGGACAGGGTTCCTGAGCATATGGCCTGGACCCTGTCCCTGGTGGGCAGCCTTGGGTTGCTTTTGGTTTCCTTAAACTATGATGAAGATAATCACGCTGCCCTAAGGTGGTCTTGTCTGTTCATTTAACAGAGTCCTCATGTACAAATGGGTAAATAAAAGTTCCATCTACAGCACATAATTTATTAGTGCCAAATGAACTGCAGCTGGAATAATAATATTTAGTACTTGCAGTGATGAGCTTGATTAAGGGAGATTGGGTAAGAGTACCCAAAATGAAGTACATTTAATGTTGGTTGCAGTTGAACTTAATGGTCCTCTTGTAGACTTGTAATCTTGCTTTATGTTACACAACAACCAATATTTTTCTGAAGGGTGTAGGCAGGCTCTGCATATTATCTCCCTGCACACAGGAGCAAGGAGATGGGTATGCATGGAGCAGGTGACTGGGACAGAGCAGTGGTGGTAATCAGCATTAGACATCTGAAGAAACTTGAATAGCTTTTCTATTTTCAACCAGTACAAGTATTCGTTAACATCACAGCAGTTCTGTGGGCTACCAACTACTGGCGTGCCAGAATCTCACCCCAAGACAGATTTCACTGTTATCCGTGGCTGCAGATGGGACAGATTGGTACAGAAGTGGAAGTGTCCTGCCCATCATGGAGCACAGAGGAGCCTGTCTGTCCCAGCACTACTGTGAGTGGAAAGGTGTGAGCAGCTGGCCAGGGCATCCTGGAGAGCCCCCTTAGGGAAGTGTGTTAGAAGGGGAGGTGGGAGGTAGAATAGGTGCTGCAGCTGTGAGTGTTTCTGTGGCTCTCTGAAAGCAGGAATTCTTAGGTTTCCGGTGCTCCATAGAATTAGCACTTAGTTAACTGTAGAATAATGGTCTAAATGGGGCTGTTGTCTGTGACGGGGAGGAAAACTGTCCTCCATCTGTGCTTCTCAGACCTTAGCAAGCAGCAGGAACACCTGGAGGCTTGGTTAAAGCATCTCGCTGGGCCCCACCCCCGGAGTTTCTCATTCAGTAGCACTGGAATGAGGCCTTAGATTTGCATTTTTAATGAGTTCCCAGGCAATTTGTATTTCTAATGTTGTTCGTTGTGGGTCTGGGGCTCATTCTTTGAGAACTCTAGAGCTAAGCTGCTTGTGTAACACTGCAAACCCAGTGAGCATTTGAGTTAATGTATGCATATGGCATGTCTAGAAAATGATAACCTTATGGAGTACTGGAGTAAACTGCAGGACATCTGCACCCCTAGATGGTAACTGGCTCTGAGGACAAAGGTGTTCCGTGCCTTGTGGCACACTGTTGGACATGTTGTCTTAAGATACATGAGTATTAACTTCATACAGTCTGCACCAAGATTTCTATTTCTATAGCAAGGGGCCTTGAATGAGATTCATAAAGTTCACTGCTGAGCATAAGGTTTCTTCTCTACCTCACCCCCTCACAAAGCTCTGATAACTTACCAGCTCTCAAGGAATTTCAGAAATCACCTTTGCTTGTATTTCCCCAGTAGGCAGTATTATTTCCCTAAGGGCAGAGTGCATTTGGGTAGGGGATATATTATGTTTGCTATATCCTCAGTGCCATCTGATCAATGTAAATTAATCTGACTTGCTCAGACTTGGTCCATGATCTCTTCATTTGTGGGATTAGTACATTTGGGAGCATCTGTCTTCAAATAACCAAGGATGGAGACTGAGGGAACTTTCCAGAGGCAATTTTGAGGCTCTTGCTGGGGGAGCATCTGTGGGTGTAAAATATCAGAAACCAGGAAAAACAAGTTGGACAACTTACTGTTCTGAGAACTTGCAGTGCAAGGGCACATGGCCAGGAAGGTGGACCACAAGTTGTAAAACCTGAGATGGTTCTGTGAGACAAGGGCACATGGCCAGGAAGGTGGACCACAAGTTGTAAAACCTGAGATGGTTCTGTGAGATTAAGCTACTCCTCCCCTAATGTCTAATGGAGTTCTTTTCCAACTTTAATTGCCAAGCAGAACAAGTGCTTCTGTTTCCCTTTTGAGGGTGGTTGGTGTTCTTACACTGTGACTTAAACAAAGGCACCTGGTGACTGAAGCACATATAGTAATTTTATGTCAAAAGCTGCTCTTACAACTCCTCTAATAGGCAAATAAAACTCTTGAAAATAGATTCTTGTCATATCTCATTAGGGTGTGGTGAGGAGTTAAGGCAATGAGAACAGTTCCCTTTGTTATAGGGAATGGGTACAGGATGGGTACCTCAAGCCATATTTAAATTACTGAGGTGGCAGTTTGTCATGCCAGACAGACCTGGGCGTTGAAGTCAGGTGGACCAGGGTTCAAATCCCATCTCTACCAGTCACCTTCTCTGTGACTTTGAGCAAAGTAATTTAGCTTTAGAGGCTCAAATTCATTACCCAAAAATGGAGATAATCATATCTTACCAGGCAGCAGTGAGGAATAAACAAAGGTCAGGTTGTGCCGACCCATGATAGATACTCAACAGATGAATTTGTCCTTTCCTTCTGAGAGGTAGATGATTTTTGTCAAATTGCTACACCATTTGAAGGCAGGTCTAGCCTGACTCTTTTTCCCATGATGTGTGAACCAGGATGAAGACAGGATGAAGAGAAAAAATGGGAAATGGCTGTCCTTTCTCTTCTTTGCTTGTACTAATTCCAAGTGACTACAGAATTGATTTGCATGAAGAGACGTGTTTTCCCCAAACATTGTTTTTTGGGGAGAGAGTTTCTTTCAAAGTGTCTTGAAACATTCTCAACCTTTTTATTCTATCTTCAACTCCAAGGTGTCAGGTTGGGGAGGTTGCTCATGAGTCGGTAACATTCAGACATGTGATTGTGTAGATCCACTGGTCCCAGGGGAGAGAGGCACAGTGATGACAGGTGTCTGGAGGAGAGGTGTCGGTGCTCAGTGCTCCACAGCTGACCTCCTTGGTTTCCTTTTGGAACCCCACAGGGATTTAGGATGTTTTTTTAATTCTCCAAGAAAGCATTAGATATTGTTACAAAGATTTTCTTTTTCCCAAGTGACATAATCCAAACACTTCTACTGAGTATAATTACATTTTGAATGAAAATTTGGCCTCATTATAGTTACTTCTTGTGAAGATCTTTTGAGGTAATTCATTTAAATTTATTTCATGCAGACATTTCAGAAACCTTTAGTTCTTTCTCATTCGGAATGTGCCTTTTAGTGAAACTTTACTGCGTGTCAGCCTAAATAAATTATTCATATTCCTTAAACATGGTCTGTGTGAGTGCTTGTCCTTCTTGAATTCAGTTTCCAAAGTGAGTCTGAATCATTCTTTGGTTGGTCAGGCACATTTTTCCCCTCAGCAGGTCTGTCTGTCTTTCTGCTGCCTTGTCTTTCCTTTTTAGAAAATCTGTTTGAGCAGTGGGGGTTTCGCTAGGACCAGGAACTCTTCAGGCAGATCCCAGTGAAGAGAAGCCAGCGGGGCCTTCCGCTGGGTATCTGTTTGAGCAGTGGGGGTTTCGCTAGGACCAGGAACTCTTCAGGCAGATCCCAGTGAAGAGAAGCCAGCGGGGCCTTCCGCTGGGTTTCTGCTGCCTGCAGCACCCTTCACGCTAGCAGGCCCTGGGCGCGGCAATACTGAGGGCACTGTCCTCCAGGCCCCCGGTTCCCTTATGCTTCAGAGCAGCACTTGGTCTCTGGAATGATTGACTTACAAACTTTTCTTTCCCCTTGGTACTTAGTAAAAGACAGGTCTTCCTTAGTTTTATGTTTTCCTTTTGCTTTCTTTTGCCATTAGTTTTTTAGAGCTATTCTCAAGTTACTTGAAAACTGTTCCCCTTCCTTTTTAGAATAAGCCTAGTTTTCTCAGGTTTTAAACATTTACTATAGTTACTAAAATGATGAGGCTTTTTTTTTTTTAAAGCATATCGAGTTTTATGGGCTGACTGGGAAACCTATCAGTTAACAGTGAAACTCAGAAATCCCTCTTCTCTTAATATGAAACAAGGTAGAAGACAACTTGTATAAATGACTAACTCTAGTCACTCCCCACTGGGGCTTCTCCCCCTTCTACTGTCCTTTGAAAGCAGCAGGCTTATACTCACTTTGTATTGATAACTTGAGGACAAGTAATGTTTTAGCTTCTTCTGGGAAAAGTGAGGCCAAAAAGGAAAAAAATGACTTACCTCCTTGTTTTATAAGTATGTTTTGCCTCTGCCTCAAGACCACTAAGCTCCTTTTGAGGACAAAGGCTGCTTCTTATTTGTTTATCTTTGAGGCTGGCTGGGGATTTTATTTTTTAATGTGGAAGATGTCACAGCTTTGATGTCTTCCTTGTGCAGAGTCCACGCTAATAATCTTTGTATTATTCCAATTTTAGTATATTTTCTGCCAAAGCAAGCACTGCCTTGGAAGTTTTCTGTACATATGTGAAAAAAAAAGGTTTAAGTAATGTCCTGTGCTGGAGGGCAAAGTCAGTGGTCAAGCCAGTCCAGGTCTGCTGACTCTAAGAAGTAGATAAAGGTCAGCTCAGAGCAGCTTGTTTGATAAGATGTTCAGATGTACACAATGTAGAGGTAGAACAGTAATAAACATGGTTATCTGTTGACTTTAAAAGTAACAAAACCGGTTATTTCACCAGCAAAATAGGTTTATACAGGAATTGCAGTTCAGTAGATGGAAGCTCTCACAAACTATAGACAAGTCTGGAAATCAAAGAGTTTTCCTTTTTAGGAGAAAAGGAGAGGGGCCACTTTGAAAGTCCATTGAAAGAAAACTGGAGTTCAGGGTGGCGATGGTTCTCATTGGCTGTGTTAGCGTGTTTTTTTACTGACTCAGCTTGTTTCTGGGCAAGTAAAGTAGGCTTCTTCTGAGGGGTCTGTAATTGACAGATTGGTAGGGCATGAAAGCTCCCTCTTCTGGCTTCCCAATCCATTTTAAATGAGGTTTCCTTTATTCAATTTCACATAAGCTTTATGCAGCATACTCTGGGCTTCTGATTTGTGCTAGGTGCTGTGCTGGGCTTTGTAGACTCAAAGAGGAAAGTAGGTGGCTGCCTAGGGAGAGGCAGTGGATTGTAGCACAGGCTTTCAAGTAAGCCCTGTTGTTAAATCCCATGTTACTGTTTACTAAGTGTGTGTCCTTGGGAAAGTTGTCTGTCTCCCTGAGCCATAGCTTCCTCATTTCTGAAAAGGGAATAATAGTATTTACTTGTAAGTTGTGCCTACTAAATGATCTTTCAGCTCAGTATCGGACACATTGAAAACAGGTAAACGGTGGCTTTTACAGTCTTCTGCCTAATGAAGTTAGAGATACGGGAACAAGCCATGATAGTGCGTGAACAGTTGGCCAGTGCATTGGTGCTCTTGCGGGAGGTCTGTGTGCACAGGTCTGATGGGAGGACAGGTAGTTCCTCACCCAGCAGGGACATGTGCGGAAGGTGGCATTGCCACTACTTGGTAGGGAGCCAAGACTCGAAGCCCAGTTAAGGGTCAGATGGAAAGGGAAGCAGCAGGACATTCTATCCCAGGCAGTAAAAAGTACAAAGACACCCAGCCTTGTTTTCCAGTTTGCCAGAGTCAGTAGGAAATCTGTGAGCTTTACAATCTCTGCTAAATTTGCAAAGGGAAAAAACCTGGAAAGTATTCAGTGGATTTTTAAGAAAAGGAGGTCTTTTTAAACGTGGATGAAATCTTGGAATAAGAATAGGCCTTCTACTTTGTAGAGCACTTGCCTGTGAAGCTTGGTGATGGTGTCAAGTCCTAAGGGATTCAGTGGGAGCCAAGAATGGCTCCCACCCATCCCAGCTGTGGTGAGATCTTAACTAAGCACATTCCATGGCGACCAACCCACTGGCTTCCCAGCTGCTGCCCAACTCCACTTTCAGAAGGAAAGGATTCCATTCCTTCCTGACTCATGGGAATATTAAACAATCAAGAATACCTCCATGTACTTTAGGGGTGGGTAAATATCTTTCGGTATGTGATATAGCAGTGGTAGGAAAGGAGCAGGTCATGTCTTAATGCTATGCTTAATGGAAAACAAGATGCAAAGTTATGTGTGTGTGTTGCAGGTAAATACACTCCACTGATGCTGAACCTAATGGCAAGGATTTATAATAGCAAAATAATACAATTAAAAGTCTGCTGTCACCTTCAAATGCTTATACAAATTATTTGTTTTTTAGATCCAGCAGTTTTAATTCTAGAATGCAGCATCTTCTGAGTTGTTATGTGTTCATACAGGCCCTGTGCCAAATGTGGCACCTTGTCATCTCCTTTAATTGTCAAGATAGCTTTATGAAGTGGGGAGTTTCCCCGTTTCTTGCAGATGGTGAGACTGAGGTTTTCGAGAACTAAGTAGTTGGCCCAGGTAATCTGATGCCATTGTCCTCATCACCTGCTCAAAAAGTAGTCCCACGCTGCTCATTTTTGAAAAGTTACTCTTTATTCATAGAAATAATTTGTGGAGTTGTTTTAAATTCCCCACATCTTATGTTTAGTCCTTTACTTTGAAACAACTCAATGACTCAGCAGTTGTTTTTTGTTCAATTGTGGAGTAATAATGTAGTAACATAAAACTTGTTAGGTGAAATTTGGAGTGTTGGATCTACCACATGAAAACTAAGACAGTATTGGGAATCTAATTGACTGTCCTTGTTATATTTAAAATTTTCCCCGAAAGATAGAAACCTCCCCAAATCTCTCATGTGTGTTACTTGTCAGGACAAATTCATTTATTCCTCAGAATGGAAAAAGAATGGAAGTAGAGAGGGAGGGCGACAGTGCTGTGACTGTGCTGAGGGGGCTGTTAGTAGCAGCTGCTGAGAATAGGTCATAAGGGAAAATAAACAAATCTCTAGAGCAGAAGTTGGTTTGAGCTGCTTAATTTCTTTTGTGGTTGTAACATTTCATATTTAGGGTGCGTGGATTAAGAAGAACCAGTGTCCTTAGGCCTAAATTAGTGGTTTTCCAAGTGTGGTACCTAGAAAGCAGCATAAACATTACCTTACAACTTGTTAGAAATGAAAATTCTTGCCCTAACTCACACCTAGCCTGGATGAACTGGAGTGAATCTCCCTAATGTGTGGGTGGGGCAGTTACCATGGATAATATTCCACCTAATCATACAGGGTGAAGATCAGGATGAGAATTAGGTAATCGGGATATTTTTTCCTCTTTGTAATTCATTCTGGACTTGTTAAACTAACAATAGCACCTCTTATGTGTCTGTAAAAATACTGATTTGACTGTTAACACTAATAATAACAAGGCAGTCATTTTGGGTTAATAGAATTTAATGAGCCCGTATAATAGTTTTCTGGTATATCTTCCCCCTTTATATTCAGGCTGAATAATAACTGTGTCTCTTGGGGCTATTTCTTTAGGTTAAAAACGTTTCTGCAGGCACACCAGACATGCCTCCGCCCCTTTCAGGCTCTGTGGACAGAGTGGACAGCCCCCTGGCCTACTCTTCCAATGGCAAAGTGAATGGCAAGAGGTTGTATCCTGAGTCTTCCTATAAATCAACACCGTAAGTAGCATCTTCCTTCTGACAGAATGCCTCTAAAAAGTGAACATTAGCCTATGTTCATAAATCAGTTGTTTTGTCCCATTTGCCTTGAAAGGAAGAATCGGCAGTTTGCACACAGGCTGGAGGCTGACCTTCATGTTGTAGGTGGAAGGTGAGGAGCGTGGGGCTGAGTTGGGGTCCTCTTCCCCTGCCAAGCAGAAAATGCGGCTTCTCTCCTGCTGCTTTCTTAGGGAAATGGTAGTTAGGTTCTTTCACTCTAGGAAGATGGTTCTCTCCTATTTCTGGTTTTGAAGTTGAGGAGAGGGTGAAGGATATTAGTGATAACAGCAGAGCAGAGAACGATTCTCAGCCTCTCCTCGCCTGTAGCTATTAGATCTTAATAATGGAAAGGGGAGATTGCTCACTGATCCACCCCTATCCATATACATTTTCAGTAGCCTAGGAGACTTCATTTGAATTCAAGAATTCTGAGGTCTTTCTTGCCATGCTAGATCTTCCATATTGCTGGGGGACATGAAACTGATAGCATCTAGGTTTTGCTTGACGTGTACGTGTACAGTGGAAAAAACCTCACAGTGAGTTTCTGGCCTAGAGCAGGTGCCATTATTGTTATTGAAATGGTCCTTGTTGTGATTTCAGTTCACCCCCAAGCCTAATTCCACTTCAACCTAGTGACTAGTGAGAGAAGAATGTTGGATATATTGTTAAGGACTTGAATGTAATTTTTTGCCTGAGGATGATAAATTAGTGTTGCTATATTTAACTGTATAGAATTCCAGATTCCTTTGTAGACCAGAAAAATAAACCTTCTCTTTAGCTAGCTTGTTTGATTGTTCTAAGTTAAAGGTGTATTTGTTGGAAAACTTTTTCTTATTTCAAAGTTTGATCCCCAACCCCATGCCCCCATTAGTAGGCCGAGCTATATAGAGATGCACTCCTGAGTGCACAGTAATTTGGGTGCCTGGAACCCTGAAAGATGACACCGGCAGCTGAGTTAATTATGGAATCCATTTGTAGACAATAAGTTTTATTACTACCCTGAAATGGAACCTGGAGAGAGGTTACCAGTCTACCGTGGCCTCTGCATTCTGGTTTGGTCTTCACAGTTGACCTGGCAGTTGATTTCAGTTATGAATGATTTCAAGGAAGAACATTTTCTCTGTTCTCCTCTTTTTGGATTTTGAGGCTATAGGACCAAAGCTACACAGTAGAGATGCCATCCTTGTAAAAGTTTTAAGGTGAGATTTGTATGACTTTCACATATACAAAATAAATAGCTGTCAATGCATCATGTGACCAGCTTTACCTCTAAATTAATTGAAGGGCCTGCATGGTTACAGAGTATTCCCATGTGCTATGCCTTTTCATGAAAACCAAGGTATTTTCAGAAGTTCATTGAAACGATTTAAAAATCCTACTCATTTTTGAATAAGCCATTACATTCATAATGTAAAATTTATGTAGTTCCTCTCCCTAGAGGCAGCTGGTGTTAACCAATTTCTTTTATACCTTTCCAGAGGTTACTTTTGAATAAATATGCTGGCCAAATATGTGTATTGGTTATTTTTTAACCTAAAAACAATACTAGTATATCAAATGCTTTGTTAGCAATGTATGTTGGAGATTTTCCATAACAGTATACAAAGAGTTTACTGAACTAGAACTATTTTATAGCTGTGTAATATTCTACTGAATTAGTTTAATTTATTAATCCCATATGATGCACACTTTTACCCAGTGTTATTACAAACTGCTACAGGGGATTAACTTTGTACATAATGTGAATGTATCTGGGGGGGAAATTTAAACAGAATTCTGGGCTAAAGGAAATTATGTTTTCATTTGGATGGATCTACGTGAATTGTACTCCAAAAGGTTTACCAATTTATACTCACAACCTACATTCCAGAACTTTGTTGAAGGTCTGGAAAATGCTTAGTTTTAGAACTCAGAAGAGGGGGAGGATGGGGAGTGCTAAGGGATGTGCATACAACAGTATCTCCTGTAGCACGTGACATGTGCTGTCATGATGGAAGGAACTTGTAGCCTCTAGGAAGTAATAGAAGCTGTCAAGTGTTGTCTGTGACCGAGTACTGGGTGTTCTGGAGGATTCAGAATATATGCATTCGGGGCGGTAGGGATGCACAGTAAGTCATAGCCCATCTTTCTGCAGGCCCTCTTAAAGGTGTTTGGTAACCCATGAGAACCTCTCCTTGCTGTCGTTATGGAGAGAGAAGGAATTAGAATGGGAACATAGTGTCTGAGGTCTGTGTTAAGGAGGAAGTGCTTCAATGCTAGATTTTTTTCCCCTCAAAGTATAGCATACATTCAGTTACGATCCCTAATCTTGAGTTTACAGCTTGATGACTTTTCACATATGCAAACACCAAAGCCACCCCCACCACACAGAGAGACATTTCAAGCACTCCACTTGTGCCCTTTCTCCATTGATGCCCCATCCCCAACTGTCACTATTTTGATGCCTGTTACCATCTATTAGTTTAGCTTATTATCAGGGTTCTTATAAAGTGGATCCAGCTCTGCTGTCCGGTTCCTTTTGCTCATCATAATGACCTGTACTTTAGAATTCAAGGCAGTTAGAATTAATCCTGGATTAGGAGACAGCATAATTTAACTGCCAATGGTTGCTTCTCCACCCTTTCTCAGTGAATTTGGGAGGACCCTATTAGGTAAACTCCCTATGCCTCTGTGCACACCCAGGTTGAATTAACCTTTATAAATCAAGGAAATTGAATGGGGACATGACACAGCTTTCAAGGCAGGCTGACACCTTAAAGTGCCAAGTGAGACCATAGTTTGGTACAGTAAGTAATCTGGTAAGATAATCTGTTAGGACTTTTATGTGAGTAGTAGAAGTTCAGTGGAATTCACCATTTTCCAGTTGTGGCCAGTCAGTCCCAGGGATGTGTGTCTAGCCTCAGGCATGGCCTGATCTGGGGACTTGGAAGCCACCGTGGCTTTTGTTGCTGTGCTGGCTTCATTCTCAGGACAGCTGCTGTTGTAGCGGGATGGTCATCCACATTCCCCAAGCTGCACTGATCTTCCCGCTCAGGATTCTGAAAAATGGGATTTTCTTTCCCAACGCTTACATACCAAATCTATTGGAAAGATTTTGATTTGGCCCTTTTTGGGTTATTGTCATCCCCGAGGACAGGGAGGTGGAGTTCTCTGGCTTGGAAACTACACCCCACCCCATAATGGTGGCTCTTCTAAAGTACCATGTACATAATGGGTGTCATTCTGACAGTGTGACGCTGATGTTGATCATGCATTCTTTTTCTTCACCGATACTGGGTGTCCTCGGAAAAGAGGATCTCTGTGAATGTGCTTTCAGTTGAGTAATTACCGGAAACACCTGCCATGTACACAGTATTGGGCCCGTGCCCCTGGGAATACCAAGTCCATGTTTTTAGGTTGCAATCCAACATGGGCAGAAGGAGAAAGTGCATAGTAACTACACTGAGAGGGCAACATAGGAGCAGCAAGGGTATCTGAGGGTGGGTGTGTGAGAATAAAACAAACAAATGATTAAAAAGGAAGAAACTCAAAAGCTACAAAAGGGTGAACTTCCAGATCTGGGAGACTGACTTGGATACTGAGGAAAGTATAAGGCCTGGTTACTTTTTCTGGGCTGTGTGGATTGTGACCTCATAGGACTTGTATCTAAAAGTAGGTTAAAAGACTTGAGAGTACACATATTCCCTAACTCTTATATATACTTTTCTTGCAAAGCATTTTTTTTTTTTTTTTATCTTTCATGCTGTAGCAAGTATGTTACTATTTGGTATTTCAAAGGGGTAGAAAGAGGGGAAGTGGCAAACTTCAGGTAAAGATTTCTGATATCAATATCTAATATAAAGTTATGGGAGGAGGCCTGCTTTAATGTTGTGGGGGTTTTTTTGTTTTCTAATTTCTTTTGCCCTTTAGCTTCCTCTTTCTCTAGCCTTTATCCCCGCAAATAAACCCACTGCATTCTAAAAGTTTTGTTCACCACCTCAAAGCAAGAAACATACCTGGCAGTTTTGGCAGTGTCCAGGAACTTGTTAATCATTGACTCACGGAGAAAGTCTTATTTTCCCTCCTTTAGAAGTAGCATTAACATAGTACACAAAGCCACGTTAACCTGGATAAATGCTACCCCCTCCCCCCACTATACATACACCCAAAGTTTTAGGAGTCTATAAGAAATTAACAAGTGTGGTTAGATATCTAAGGTTTTGACAACAATTAGAATGAAGCGGTTGTGGGTCACTTAGAAAACAGAGTAAACCTTGTAGCTGAAAGGCAAGATCTCAATTTCTATAAGTTGAAAGCAATAAGAAAAAATCTTCTGTTTTTAGTAGTTGACTTGACTGCCACGGTCAGTGTTTAAAGTCTCAGGCACTTTCTTTGTCTTCCTTTCATTTTCCTTCTTGCCCTTCTCAAGCTCTGCTACAGGAGGAAGATAAGTTTTGCGTTTATGCTACTCAGGTAGTTTACAGTTGCCACAGCTCTTGGTACTTTATTCTGTATAAGATTTTGTTTTTGTGGTTGTGGCAGAAACATATGCAATTCACAATCTGATGCAATGTTAAATGATTGCATTAGAAAAATAAATGGAATGGTAACCCTCTGCGTGGCTATTCCATTCGTCCACATGGCTTCAGGATTAACATGCAATTTAAAAAAGAAATCTTAATGAGCTCTTCCATCTATTGTACTATAAAGCTTTTTGGCTTTTTGGGTTTTAGTTTAAATTTTTAGGTTGTGTTGTTCTTTTTTTTACCCCCAAGATTGTATCTTGAAAAGAAAATTGACATGTAGGAGTCTAACACTAACATGACAAAGAATTTATCTTTGAGAGTCAGCTTCCAAAGGTAGATATGTGGGTGCATTCTTCTTCTGTATTCAGCATTCCATGAAACTGGAAGAACCTGTAGGAAAGAATCATGGTTGTATTTTCCTGACAGCTTTGGTGGAGTAAGCCCCTGGTACAGGTCAGGTGAACACCTCTTCCTGATCAGCCTGAACATCCTAAAGTGAAATATTAGATCCATTTTACTTAGAATCTGGCACCTTCACATTGGAGCCCTAAAGCTGCTGGTGTGTCACACAGGATCGGAAGCAGTGCTAAGCTGGATGTGAGCAACTGGGGGTCTGCTCACTGCTGAGTGCATGAGCTGCCTGAGTGAGTGCACCTACTGAAGTGAAGGTGCTTCTCAACTTACTGTTGCCGCTCTTTGTGATCACAGTGCCCTGGCAAAGGGCTGTAGAGTGCCCAGTGATCACTCACAAATGAGTCCTGTTTTATTAGGGTGCCTGAAGTGGTTCAGGAGCTTCCTGTGACTGTCCCTGCAGACGACGTCAGGCAGCCTCGTTACAGCAGCAGTGGTAACTTGGAGACGCCTTCCAAAAGGGCTCCCACTAAGGGAAGAGCGGAAAAGACCAGGAGATCAGAGCAAGACCACTATGAAACAGACTACACCACTGGAGGCGAGTCCTGTGATGAGCTGGAGGATGACTGGATCAGGTACTGTCGCCTCTTGTGCTGGAGCCGCTTGCATTTCAGATTATTAGCATGAACCAACCAGGTCTCGGAGTTACTGCCTCCTAAACTGAGGCAAATAATCTAATTTCATTCTTTGCCAGCCAATATCAGAAACATTTTGCTTTTTTCCTTAGTACCCTTTTTTAAAAAAAATTTTTAATTAAGGTATGATTGATACACACTTTTATGAAGGTTTCACATGAAAAAAACAATGTGGTTACATTTACCCATATTATCAAGTCCCCACCCATACCCCATTGCAGTCACTGTCCATCAGTGCAGCAAGATGCCACAGATTCAGTATGTGCCTTCTCTGTGCTATGATCCCCCACACCATGTGTACTAAACATAATACCCCTCAGTCCCCTTCTCCCTCCCTCCCCACTCGCCCTCCCACACCCCTTCCCTTTGATAACCACTAGTTCATTCTTGGAGTCTGTGAGTCTGCTGCTATTTTGTTCCTTCAGTTTTGCTTCATTGTTATACTCCACAAATGAGGGAAATCATTTGGCATTTATCTTTCTCCACTTGGCTTATTTCACTGAGCATACTGTCCTCCAGCTCCATCCATATTGTTGCAAATGGTAGGATTTGTTTCTTTCTTATGGCCGAATAGTATTTTGTTGTGTATATGTACCACATCTTCTTTATCCATTCATCTACTGATGGACACTTAGGTTGCTTCCATATCTTGGCTATTGTAAAAAGTGCTGCGATAAACATAGGGGTGCATATGTCTTTTTGAATCTGAGAAGTTGTATTTTTTGGGTAAATTCCAAGGAGTGGGATTCTGGGGTGAAATGGTATTTCTATTTTTAGTTTTTTGAGGAACCTCTGTATTCCTTAGTACGCTTTCATAGTAAAGATTGACATGGTGGGGATATATTTGGCTGTAACCCTGTCTTAATGCTCAACTCAGCACAAAATGGCTAATAAACTTCACCAGTGCTCTTATTTTTACTAGTCACCCTAGAGAGGTCTTCCAAATAAATAAAATACAAATATAAAGGAACATTGTTGTACTGAGTATAAAACTCCCAGCCCAGTGCTATGGCTTTCCTTTGGCATTTACTTTTAAGTTAAGCTTTCTTGATGAGACCAGGGATTCTTTTAAGTTTACTCCAAAGGTCTTGTAGACAGTATTGTAAACAATTGAGTTAACAACTGAGTGTTTTCCAGTTGTGGCCACAGGTGTGGTTAAATTCATTTGTGTGTCAGTGGTTTTGTTATACCCCATCCATAACTGCACCCTTGTGTGTGGTGTGCAGCATTTCTGTGCCTGAGTATTCTGAGGAATGGGACACAAAGCAGGAACATTTGCGGTATAAATGCTGGTTACTCAAAGCACTGCTTCTCAAGATGTTAGAAGGGATGGGTTGGGCATGTACAACTTGAATCCCCTTCTCACTGGTGGTTCTTATGCCTCAGCTTCCCCTCTCCCCCAATGAGTTTTTGGCCTAGTTCAGCCATCTGTCAGTAAAATATTTGCCTAATTTGATTCATGCATGAGTTAAATGAAAAATTTTTGGAATTCTGAACTCTTTTTTCCCTTTTGAGCAGGAAGTCATTTAATTTCTCCCCCTGTAAAATAAAGATACTAGGTTTAAATCTAAAATTTGAAATTCCATATTACTATGAAGTTCCTTAGTACTGTGAAACAATTCAGAATATTTCCTCAGTGGATTATGGGTTAATGGCATCACGTTCATACGTAAAGAACGGCTGGCATATTGAGAGATGGAAGTGATGGAGAATTTCAGGTTTTTTCCCATAGTTTAATGCATGGCCAGATTGTTTTTACAGTAAGCATATGCATTTTTATACATGTAAATATTAATGCCTACTTTTATGATCAAAGGACTTACAATAAGCTGTTTCTACTTGGGAAAAAGAACAAGACCAAAAACAAAAAACAAGCAACCCTGAAACAGTCTGAAAACTTTAGGCGGTGGCAGAGAACAGCTGGTCTCCAGTCAGCTGTGCTGTTGCTGCAGTGATGAAAACAGACTCGTCTTCCCGATTTCCAGTTTTAAAGAGTCTAAACTGGATAAGTATTCCATTATTGTGTGGTATTATATATTCAGAATAAATATATAATACCAGAGTATGTAATAAACATAATATTCAGAGTTTCTATGACTTGAACCTTAAATTTCATAAATAATTTTCAACTTTATCTCAAAATTTTGAGGGATAGTTTTTTTAAAAAAACGTGAGCAGTGATGTGTTAAGTATAATCTATCCTTAAGAGAACTTACTTGCATCTAACTTCTTCTTTCCATAAGCAACAAAAAGAAAACAGAATGTTATTCTCCACATCTCACCAGCATTATCTCTGGATTTGACATCTGCTAAGGATACATAAGTAGTCATTTTTCTCACTTGATTTTTAGGGAATATCCACCTATCACTTCAGATCAACAAAGACAACTCTACAAGAGAAATTTTGACGCTGACCTGCAGGAATATAAGAGCTTACAAGCAGAACTTGATGAGATCAATAAAGAACTCTCTCGTCTAGATAAGGAATTGGATGACTATAGAGAAGAAAGTGAAGAGTACATGGTAAATTCAAACCTGATAATTACATATAAGTATGTATGGGGGGATACAGTATCCTTTATACATGTTGATATACCTTTGCTGGTAAAGATCAAAAATTAATTTCACTGAAGAGTAATTGAAAGTGAGTCTTGGTTAAAAGTCTTTCCTAATTAGTGTGTACTAATGTAGTTAAGGATTGAAAAGCAATAGTCTATATACATTTACCCCTTCCTATTAAAAGAAAGTAGCTATATTATATTTTCAATTTATAAACACAGTTCATTCTTTCTGTAACAAATTCAAACAATACAGAATTGCATACAAAGAAATAAATTGCTTTGAATTCCACCACTGATTGTCACAAAAATATTAGCTGTTAAAATATCCCCTCCATGCAGAAGTACACCTGGATACACAATCTTCAATAAGGAATCATCTTAAGTGTTCTAATTATATCTTTCCTGGTTTTTTGCTTGGCAACAGTTTATGGTTTTGCTTTTTGTTTTTCCCCCTTGATCACCCAGCTGAGGTAGTGTTTGTCCGTGTGAAGTTGCTCTTCCCTGTTTAGTACTCCTTTCCATACTGTACTCTTTGGGAGGAAATCACTATGCGTACATCACACTTGAGGAGCGGGCATCATGCTCCAGCTCTTGAAAGGCAGTGTGCCTTCATGAAGTATTTAGAATTCTTCTGCATGGGAAATAGTTGCTTCCTCCCATTCACTTACTGGTTAGTCATTTATATTGGTTTGGCCTCATGAGTACTATTTTATATACACTATATATTTTGCTCAAATTGTTACAGCTTTGACCATTGGGAAACTCTTGGCAGCTGTCTCCTGTATCTTTTTGATGTATTCCCATCTTTGTAAGGGTTTTTCTTTTTAGATACTTCTGGCAGTGCTTATACCCTGCTTTTTTTTATTCAACAGTAGTTTAATGGTTACTGATTAATGTCAATAATGAGATTGCTTACTGAAAAGTGTTTTTACATGTTAAAAAATGGCTACAATTTTTAATTTTATGGTTGTACTCTAATTTTATGAGTCATCCTCTGTGAATAGACACTTAGGTATGTCTACCCACAACAACACACATAACCTCCTTTGGTAGCACTTGTAATACACTAGTGAAACTCTCCATCTTTGCACGCTTGATCTGACCAGGACAAATTCCAGAATGTGAAAGTGTTGAGTCAGAGGTTAGGTACATTTAAATTTATGTTGTAAAATTGCCCTCCAGAAAGATTATAGCAACTTTATTGCCCCTAGTAATGCTCTGGAGGGCTCATGATCCACATCTCACCACTGTTTTGTTCCTGGAAAATTACTGCTTTGTGTTTTAGATATTACTAATTAAACTTTTTTTCATCATACTGTACACTTACTAGAGCTTTATATACATTTTATGAAATACTGCCATTTTAAATTGGGGTGATCTGTTTTTCAGTTTTGAAGTATTTGCTTCTTATATAACTTGATTTATTTATTGCTTTCTTCTATGTCTTCTGTATGGTGACATCATAAATCTTTCTTGACTTGTTGAACATTTATTGTTATTGTGTCCTTAATAATGCAGAAGTGCTGAGACTAGACATAAAGTCCTGTGTCTGCCTTCAAAAAGTTCATACTGTAAGAAGGAAACTGACATCTAAACAACTTAGATGGTGTGACTAATGATATATTCATGTTATGTGTAGAAAGTACTATAACTTCTCAGAGAAGAAATAAAGTTGGCTATGGCCTGGAGAGTTTAGGGAAACTTCATTGAGGGGTAACCAGTACAAATTCTCCAGACAGAAGTGGGGACAGGTGCATTAATAGAGTCATAAGGAGAGCATGATAGAAATCTGGGAGCATTAACATGCTTAATTTCTTAAAGGAGTTGCAAATGATGGACATTAAGTCTGGAAAGGGAAGAGACTGTATTAGTAGAGAAGTTAATGGGGAGCATAGACCAGTTTTATAATGAGATATAACCTGATTGAGCCGGGCTTTACAGAACACCTCTCTGGTGTCAGTGTAGCACATGGACTGGCCTGGTGGCAAGATGAAAGGCAGCAGAACCCTGCCTGTGTGAGTGGAACATGAGAAAGAGAATGCCATAAATTTTTCTTCTTGGGTTCCTTCAGGCCCTGTGCTGACCATAATTGTTCTAAGAGCTTTAAGGCTTTATTGTGTTCATTTCCTGTATTTGTGGCATTTGGGGCAGTTTTAGCTCCAAACTATAACATCAGGAGTGTTACTTTTGAAAGCGAAAACATCGCACTAAATGTAGTCCCTTGTGTTTCTCATTACTAGGCTGCTGCTGATGAGTACAATAGGCTGAAGCAAGTCAAGGGAGTAAGTATCCTGGATTGTAAGATTCTTTTAGGAAGAATTTTTCTACTATGTGCTTGTCATTTAACCTTTAGGATGACTGTGAGTACCCTGTCACCCATGCACCAATTATAGACAGAAGGCCCTATAATTGCAAGATTAAAAAATACATAAGTAGTCATTTTTCTCACTTGATTTTTAGGGAATATCCACCTATCACTTCAGATCAACAAAGACAACTCTACAAGAGAAATTTTGACGCTGACCTGCAGGAATATAAGAGCTTACAAGCAGAACTTGATGAGATCAATAAAGAACTCTCTCGTCTAGATAAGGAATTGGATGACTATAGAGAAGAAAGTGAAGAGTACATGGTAAATTCAAACCTGATAATTACATATAAGTATGTATGGGGGGATACAGTATCCTTTATACATGTTGATATACCTTTGCTGGTAAAGATCAAAAATTAATTTCACTGAAGAGTAATTGAAAGTGAGTCTTGGTTAAAAGTCTTTCCTAATTAGTGTGTACTAATGTAGTTAAGGATTGAAAAGCAATAGTCTATATACATTTACCCCTTCCTATTAAAAGAAAGTAGCTATATTATATTTTCAATTTATAAACACAGTTCATTCTTTCTGTAACAAATTCAAACAATACAGAATTGCATACAAAGAAATAAATTGCTTTGAATTCCACCACTGATTGTCACAAAAATATTAGCTGTTAAAATATCCCCTCCATGCAGAAGTACACCTGGATACACAATCTTCAATAAGGAATCATCTTAAGTGTTCTAATTATATCTTTCCTGGTTTTTTGCTTGGCAACAGTTTATGGTTTTGCTTTTTGTTTTTCCCCCTTGATCACCCAGCTGAGGTAGTGTTTGTCCGTGTGAAGTTGCTCTTCCCTGTTTAGTACTCCTTTCCATACTGTACTCTTTGGGAGGAAATCACTATGCGTACATCACACTTGAGGAGCGGGCATCATGCTCCAGCTCTTGAAAGGCAGTGTGCCTTCATGAAGTATTTAGAATTCTTCTGCATGGGAAATAGTTGCTTCCTCCCATTCACTTACTGGTTAGTCATTTATATTGGTTTGGCCTCATGAGTACTATTTTATATACACTATATATTTTGCTCAAATTGTTACAGCTTTGACCATTGGGAAACTCTTGGCAGCTGTCTCCTGTATCTTTTTGATGTATTCCCATCTTTGTAAGGGTTTTTCTTTTTAGATACTTCTGGCAGTGCTTATACCCTGCTTTTTTTTATTCAACAGTAGTTTAATGGTTACTGATTAATGTCAATAATGAGATTGCTTACTGAAAAGTGTTTTTACATGTTAAAAAATGGCTACAATTTTTAATTTTATGGTTGTACTCTAATTTTATGAGTCATCCTCTGTGAATAGACACTTAGGTATGTCTACCCACAACAACACACATAACCTCCTTTGGTAGCACTTGTAATACACTAGTGAAACTCTCCATCTTTGCACGCTTGATCTGACCAGGACAAATTCCAGAATGTGAAAGTGTTGAGTCAGAGGTTAGGTACATTTAAATTTATGTTGTAAAATTGCCCTCCAGAAAGATTATAGCAACTTTATTGCCCCTAGTAATGCTCTGGAGGGCTCATGATCCACATCTCACCACTGTTTTGTTCCTGGAAAATTACTGCTTTGTGTTTTAGATATTACTAATTAAACTTTTTTTCATCATACTGTACACTTACTAGAGCTTTATATACATTTTATGAAATACTGCCATTTTAAATTGGGGTGATCTGTTTTTCAGTTTTGAAGTATTTGCTTCTTATATAACTTGATTTATTTATTGCTTTCTTCTATGTCTTCTGTATGGTGACATCATAAATCTTTCTTGACTTGTTGAACATTTATTGTTATTGTGTCCTTAATAATGCAGAAGTGCTGAGACTAGACATAAAGTCCTGTGTCTGCCTTCAAAAAGTTCATACTGTAAGAAGGAAACTGACATCTAAACAACTTAGATGGTGTGACTAATGATATATTCATGTTATGTGTAGAAAGTACTATAACTTCTCAGAGAAGAAATAAAGTTGGCTATGGCCTGGAGAGTTTAGGGAAACTTCATTGAGGGGTAACCAGTACAAATTCTCCAGACAGAAGTGGGGACAGGTGCATTAATAGAGTCATAAGGAGAGCATGATAGAAATCTGGGAGCATTAACATGCTTAATTTCTTAAAGGAGTTGCAAATGATGGACATTAAGTCTGGAAAGGGAAGAGACTGTATTAGTAGAGAAGTTAATGGGGAGCATAGACCAGTTTTATAATGAGATATAACCTGATTGAGCCGGGCTTTACAGAACACCTCTCTGGTGTCAGTGTAGCACATGGACTGGCCTGGTGGCAAGATGAAAGGCAGCAGAACCCTGCCTGTGTGAGTGGAACATGAGAAAGAGAATGCCATAAATTTTTCTTCTTGGGTTCCTTCAGGCCCTGTGCTGACCATAATTGTTCTAAGAGCTTTAAGGCTTTATTGTGTTCATTTCCTGTATTTGTGGCATTTGGGGCAGTTTTAGCTCCAAACTATAACATCAGGAGTGTTACTTTTGAAAGCGAAAACATCGCACTAAATGTAGTCCCTTGTGTTTCTCATTACTAGGCTGCTGCTGATGAGTACAATAGGCTGAAGCAAGTCAAGGGAGTAAGTATCCTGGATTGTAAGATTCTTTTAGGAAGAATTTTTCTACTATGTGCTTGTCATTTAACCTTTAGGATGACTGTGAGTACCCTGTCACCCATGCACCAATTATAGACAGAAGGCCCTATAATTGCAAGATTAAAAACTGTAATTGAATAGATGGAAACTTAATTTCAGTTGTTTGCAGCTATAACACATACTGATTTTTTTAAAAAACTTTTAAGAAGTTGAAGCATATGTACAGAAAAGTACACAAATTCAGTGTGTACAACTTGGTTGATTTTCACAGTGATCACACCCCTTTGTACCTGGCACCCAAATCAAGAAACACAATTCCTTGTACTCCTGGCAACCCTCTCTTGTGCTCTTTTCCAGTTTTTACACCCTACCCAGATGTAACCATTATTTTAACTTCTAACATCATAAATTAGTTTCACCTATTTTGAACTTTATATAAATTGAATCACATAGTATGTGTTTTATGTTTCATTTCTTTTTGCTTAATGTTCTGTTTGTGAGATCCATTCATGTTTTGATGTGGCTGTGGTTCATGTATTTTCATTTTGTGTATTTTATGAGTAAAACACAATTTGCTCATCTGTTTCATTGTTAATGAGCTTTTGGACTGTTTGCAAGTTGTGGCTTTTACAACTAATGCAGCTTCAGACATTTTTTGCAAGTGTCTGTGCACATGTGCATCCATTTGTAAGGTATATACTTAGAAGTGAAATTGCAGGGTCAGTGGGCAAGTGTATTCAACCCTGGGTTCATAATCTCAAACCACAGTCCTGGTTTGTGCCAGTTTACATTATCATCAGGCAGTGTACATTCCTGTTGCTCCAAATCCTTGCTCATTACTTGGCATTCTCAGTCTTTCTAGATTTAAAACATTTTTTATTCTTAAAGAGAATTTAAATTAAAATTTTAAAAATTTACAAAGCGTCATGATTTTAAATGTAAGAGTTTAAAATTTCCTGTCTCATTTTCTATTTACTCAGTACCCCTTTCCCATGTCAACTGGTATCACCAGTTTCTCATTTTGCTGATTTCTAAGATAATGTATCAAGAGAGCCAGTGAGTTTTCTTGGTCACTTTACAAGTCATTAGAAATTAGTGTATCCTTTTTAAAACTCAGATTAGAAGATATGATTGAGTAGAGAGAATCAGCTGCCTATGTGGTTAGAGATATGACAGGTTCTTTATATATGTTACTTCATTTAACACTCCCAACAATTCTGTGTGATTTATTTCCCCCTTTGTTGTTCAGCTCTGCCTTCCCAGTAGCAAACATGTAACTCGTTTTTTTTTTTAATTTACCTGGTTCATTTTCTTTCCTTTTCAGTCTGCGGATTACAAAAGTAAGAGGAATTATTGCAAGCAGTTGAAGAGCAAATTGTCACACATCAAGAAGATGGTTGGAGATTATGATAGACGGAAAACATAAAAGACAGACAAAGGCAGATGTCACATTGTTTAAGACATTAAGTATTGGACATCCCTGCAGTGCTGTCGGAAGACAGTGACTGTGGACTGTGACCTGGGAGGCTAAACCTTTGTGATCATTACAAAGTTTTGTTAGTTTAACATCATCAGTATTGAAGTATTTTGCAAATACCTTTTGATAACCAACTGGGCTGAACACTCCAATTAAGGATTTTATGCTTTAAACATTGGTTCTTGTATTAAGAACTAACTATTGTTTGAGCTTTTTAAACCCTTAAAGAAGGCTTTGGAGTGAACTGTGCTGTGAAGTTTCACACCCTAAGCAGTCATGTCTTAATACCTAAGTGCTCTCATTAGTTCACATGAGTGACCTTGTTTAATTCTCCCAAGTCCTCCCTTTAGGTAACTGTTTTATTTTTTTAATTATAGTATCATTGATATACAATCTTATGTTGGTTTCAAATATACAACACAATGGTTAATGGTTACCCATCCTCACCCCCTCTAGTGCAGTTACTATCTATCAAGTAAGATGCAGGTAACTTATTTATAATCATTCCTTTTCAGCTGAGGAAACTGGTCCCTGGAATAAAGTCTTTGAAGTGAAACTGCTTGTTTCCTATCTTGTAGTTTTGGTTAAATCTGTTTTATAACTCCATTAATACGGTCCCTGTCCTTTCCTATTTTAGCTATAGTCATTCCACCAAACCCTCTATTGATTTTTTTTTCTGTGTATATATGATTAAAAGAACTTTTTATTATTTTGTGTTATCCTGATAATAAAGATCATATAAAAGTAATAAATTATGAAATTAGAGATTGTAAATATATATTTACTTTTAAAAAATCAAAATTTAAACCTGATTATAATTTTGTATATTTTTAAGTTCTTTTTAATCTTTTAATCTTTTGTGGTTTACATGCATTTTTTTTTTTAACTAACTAGGCCTTTCCATTGTACAATATATCCAATGACATTTATAATTCAGTTGTGACTTGAATTGTATCTTGAAGGAATGTTCAAGTTCTGTACATATTTTAGAAGGTATTAAACCTGGCATTTTCTTTCTATAATATACCTGCTGGACATCATTAGTACTATTAATATTAAGCTGTGGAAAACTACACTTACCAGTTGTATCTGTTACTGTTTTAAACTGTTTTGGGTGCTGTGCTTGTTGCTAGTTTCCCAATTCTTTGACTATAAGAAGGCTGATTTGTTTAGATATAGAATGCAATACCACGAATACCAAAATATTTCAAATGGTGCCTTTAAATCTCAGCACTTTTTTTAATTCAAATTTTTATCAATAAAATAAAATTAGCTGAAAAACGGTATATAGCTAGACAAGTTGTGATTATCCCCCTAGCTTACGACTGTTTTTCTGAAAAAATTTTGAAGTTTAACATTTAAATTTTATTATGTAGTTCAGACATTTGTTTTTAATTTTTTATATGCAAGTCTGAATCATTTTCTAAAGATACACTTTTAAATGTTTTATTATAACAGATTCTTCAAATTGAAGAAATTCTTAATTTTCTATGTGCTGTATACATACTACAAAAGGTAGTTTATGCTTTTCATACCTTTTGTATTCGTAAGGACTCTCTTGAGCAACTTAATTTTTATGTATGTTAAAATTTAAACTCTTTGTTCTTAGAAGTCAATATACCTAGGTTTATGAAGGCAGTTTTGTCAGTATGTACATTCAACTGAATGCACCAAATCAAATAGCATGAATTTATGTTGTAAAATTATGCCATAAAATTGGACTTTGAAATTTAAAAAAAAATCATCTTTCAAATATGGTACTTAAACTAATAAACACTTTGTGAGCCAGGATCAGGATTTCTGTTGGGTTGGCATTAACTAGCTGGATGGAACTTTGAAAAGCCACTAAGACAGTTTTCTAGTCTGGAAAATAGGAGGTTTAGATTAAATTTCACAGGTCTCTTGCATCTTATGCAAGACCTTCTGTGATTCTTATGTCTGCGTTCTGTTTTTTGCTATAAACCATGGTTCCAAAGTCTGTTGTTAAAGCATCTGATAAAGTCTCACTGCAAAAAGTGAGTCCCTTACATGTGTGATTCTCTGTTAAAAGTAGATAAGCTCAATGTTTTAATTTCACTTTATTTTGAAATATTTAAAGAAATGCAGAAAACTGTAAACTACATGTATCAACTACCCAGAAATAGCAGATGTTAACTTTGTCATCGTATTTTTTTAAATAAATTTAAGTATTGGTATTTATAGTAAAAGTTCCATTATATACACACACCTACATACTTGAAATATTTAATCCTTCCCACAGTCTATTGACATGTAACCACTTCTCATTCTCATTTTACAGATAAGGTTTTACATTTTACAGATACAAATGATTCAGCTGGTCAACAGATCCATTGTCACATACTAGCAAATGACTAAATTAGGATTGGGTTCTTGGTCTGTTAAAATATTAGGTTCTATATTCCCTTTGTAAATTGACTTTGTTAACAAATTAATGGGTTGGAGAAGGTGGGATTACTCTGATGTTAATAAGATATCCTATTTTAATTTTGAATGCATTTTAAGTACTTAAAATGAACATAAAATGCTTCATAGGAAATATATGAAGTATCTGTAAACACCTGCATGGGTATGCATGTGTAGATTTCTTTATCATGGCCCCAGGGATGTTAGCTTCAGTTGGGTTTGTGAAAGTTCCTCACACAAAGGCATTCTCTCTGATTTTGCAATGGGATTTGAAGTATCTCATCTGGACATTTTTAAAGGCTCAGCTTGAGAAATACAAATTCAAACTCAACCTCCTGACAGCTCATGGTTCTGCTGCACCTACCATGTAACCTCTTGTGTGAAAGGACAGATAAATCAGATGGAGCACCACATTATCTCTCGTCCTGTGTTTCACGTTGTTAACATTTCTTCTAATGAAATAGTTTTCAAGAATAAAAATGTCCAGGTAACTTGGATAATTTTTTAGAAAACACTGTGTTAATGCCACTCTGGAGTTTGAAAAAGAACACGAACACGTAACTATGATCATTACTATTCTTTGTGGCTGCAACAAAATGCGGAAGGGTGTCCCCTCAAAATTTCTAATTGCTACTATAGGACCTGTTTGGTCTTCCCTGCTGTGTTGTCCTATTCTGCTCTGCCCTCCAGCGATTACTTGCTGTGTGACCTTGGGCAAATGACCTTGTCTTCCTGAGGCTCAGGTTGCTTATTTGTGGGAGAGGGATTTGTGCCTAAGTGCATAGTTGTTATGAAGGTAGTTCATGTGTGATTTAGCACAGCCTGTCAGAAAGTAAATAATACAGCCAGCTACATGTATTTTTCCAAAGCTGGGAAATGAAACTTTAAACAAGCTTTTAAAAAGCAAATTGTGTTTTAAAAGTGTATGTGTCAATTCATCTACTGATGGACACTTAGGTTGCTTCCATTTCTTGGCTATTGTAAATAGTGCTGCAATAAACATAGGAGCACATCTGTCTTTTTCCAACTGGGCTGCTGCATCCTTAGGGTAAATTCCTAGAAGTGGAATTCCTGGGTTCAAATGGTATGTCTATTTTAAGCATTTTGAGGAACCTCCATACTGCTTTCCACAATGGTTGAACTAATTTACATTCCCACCAGCAGTGTA